AGGGTTTAAAGATCGGGTTCTTTTTGTTCGGGCCAGTTTCTTGTCGCCTTTATTGAACTGACATAACAGCGGGTCCAGCACCAGTGGGTCGGTGCTGCAGTGAATAACAGTAGTCGCAGAAAGTACACCAGCATTGCCAGATAGCAGCAATAACATGACAGCACTGCTAGCGTCAATGCCAGGACGAACCCGAGTTGTAAGAACATCAGTAAGGTGCTAGACATGTGAGAATGAAGATGGAACAGCACTTGTATTTGTGGCAGCTGTCCCATCAGCAAGACCTTCATAGTCACCATCATCATCATGACCATCACTATCAGCATCACCATCACCAATATTGTCATTACCATCATCACCGCCATCATCACCGCCATCATCATCATCATCGTCTTCTTCTTCAGCATCATCAACATCACCACAACCCAGCTCGTGCCGCTAACGTCGAGCATCTTGAAAATCAGCCCAAGCGGGGCATAGTCGCAGCAAGCATGTGCAATACCAAGAGCAACCAGACGAACTCCTAAACTAAACCCTAAACTTAGACCCTGCCAAGCCCTAAACCTGCTCAACGTGGCAGGTTCTCACCCCGGAGGGCGCGAAGCTGCTCCAGAAATCTCAGCAGGTTCGGGCTCGGGTTCAGGAAGGGCTTCGGGGGTTGAGGGTTTTGGGCCTAGGGCTTTATAGGGTGGGGGCCTCAAGGGGTTTTCGGCTTCAGGGTTTATGTTGTTTGGGGTCAGTGGGGTTCCGGGGACGGGATTCAGGTTCTGTGTCCTTGGGGTTTGAGCGTGTTTGGGCTTCTTATGGGGTGAGTGGTCTTGCGGTGAAGGTTTTGGGAGTCCCTTGTTTCTGGACTCCTGGACCGTGGATGCAACATCCTTCCATCAAGATGCTTTGCTACACCTTCAGGAACTTGCCCATGCGAACACAAATGCACGCACACACGCACATGTATATATATATATATATGTATGTATGTATGTATGTATGTATGTATGTATGTATGTGTGTATATATATATATACGCGCACACACGAATGGGCTTCGGGTTAGTGGGGCAACACTTGAAAAAGCTCAAAGTGTCGAACGGTTTCAGGTTCGGGGTTTCGAGCTTAGGCCTGTGGGCGATGAGTTTCGGGAATCATAGAGATTTCAAAAGAAATACAGTAGCATGAACAAAGCATTATATCCGAGAGCACGTTAGTCTACAAAACTTGCAGATCTGAGGTCGACTATCGATCAGCCCTGATAATCAACTCCCAGTGCAATCCCGGCGAGCCCTGAAGCTTGAACCCCTTACCTGCACTATGCTATTGCTTTATCTTAACTATGAGCATTTTAGTAGTATTAGCATTATTCGCATGTTTCCTACCGTCACTAATCGCTGTTTCGGTTCACATTCTTTACTTTGATTATTACTGTCGTTTCTTGTATTATCCTCGTTGTCTTCATCATGACCATCATCAGGATAATGATCATGACCATCATGCTTGTCTAGCTTTTGCATCAGTTCTTATCGTTATTGTCGTTCCAGATAGTCTGACTATGTTCATTACGATCATTATGGCCATTGTTTTCACCATCCTAATCATTGCTTTATTGCGAACATATGGGAGTTTCCGAAAATGGGGGACCCTAATATAGTACCCGAGATAGTGGGATCCCTACTATAAGGACCCCATAATAAGGTCCCTAATTTTCGGTAGCTCCCATATTGCGCCTCATCGATTCCCAAGCCAGGAAGGCGAAGCTGCCGCCTCAGCGCAGCCCGCGGAGTCACCAGCGGCCGCATCTGCGGCGTCCCCGGCGTCTGCGCCAGGCCGTGGTCTGACGACGGGGACTTTAGGGTTCAGGATTTACGGCTACAGGGTTTAGGATGTCAGCGCTGGGTCAGGACCAGCTGGCCGGTTGTTGAGTTTCACCTTCTTGATTCGTGAAGAGGTCTGGAGGGTTTCCTTTGTCCTTAACTCATGGATCAGTTGCTGTTTTTGGCGTTCACGGCTCAAGCTTGATCTGCTCACAGGGCGCGTGGCAGTTTGGGACCTCTGTGTCTGCGGGTTCCTTCATATCAGCAGCATTTACTGTCAGATTGTCGGAAGCGATCGATGATACAGTGAGGGTTTTCTGTGTCGCTTTTTCTTGCGGGGGATTGCACGTGAAAGAAGGGCCCTTCAAAATGAGCCTCCCTCTTCTTCCCACCCTTTGCTTGCTGCTCGCCATGAGGGGCCAGGCTAAACTCTTGCGGTCTGGCCCTCATGCTGACGCTGATAGTTGTGATCCAAATAAGTGTTAGGAGTGATGATCATGGTTGCTCATCTTGGAACCCTCATCCATGCTTTTCAACCGAACACCTAAACTGTGAACCCTGGACCCTAAACCAAATGCCTCTTGCCACACCTCTTTGGGCAGGTGCAGCAGAGCTGCAGGCTTGCGTAATGCCGCAGTTTAAGGCCTTTTGGTGCTTTTCGGCGTTTAGGGTTGAAGTAGGGTGGCTTTCAGGGTTCAGGGTTCGGGGGGAGGGGGCGGTGGTGTTGAGGGCGTTTGGGGTTTCGGGGCTTTGGATGAGTGTTGAAGGCTATTGTGGGGCCTGAAATGTTGCTGCTGCAACAACTCCACTCCTCCTCCTGCTCTTTATGCATCTACAACCTACAATACTACGACAGCGACCACCTGCGCTTGTTTGTCTTAAATCGTGTGGGCAGGCAGGGGGCGAAGACCTGACGTCGCAACACCGGACCAGGCCCGAGTGTGTGATTGCGACTCCTCGACCTCGCATTTAGTATAGGGACTTTTAATAATTACCTATACTATTTTGGGGGTTCCTTATTAGATTCATAGTATAATGGCCCCCAAACCCTATTCCAATTATTAAGGCCCCGACATTACCCGGAAAGCAGAAACCCTGAAGCCCTAAGAGACCTTACGCGATAAACCTGGTTTATGCGACTCCTTCCTAAAACCTGATTCGTTACACTCAGCCTCTTTCGTACTGTAGAGGCTTTAACAATTAGTAGTACTATGGAATTCCATAGGGTTCATTGTATAGTCTGACGGGAAACCCTAAAGCCCTAAAGCCTTATTAAGGCTTCCATATCGGTTGTTGTTCTTCTGCCCTCCTGGCCAGGTCCGCCGTGGTCCTGCCCGAGCTCGCCGAGGCGGAATTCGTCGAGGCCGAACTCGACGCCCCAAATGCATTCAAAGCTTTCGTGACTTTGGTGTTTCCGGCTTCAGCTCTTGGGAGTTTAGGGTTTCCGGGTTTAGGTTTTTAGGGCTTCGGCTTTAGAGTTACAGTTACAGGTAATTTGCGCTAGGACATTCCCACCGGAAGACGCAACCCTAAGACCTCAAGAATGGACTGAAACAATACCTACAGCTACACCCCGAATATAGCCTACAATTGGAGACTGCGCCGACGCGCTCGCCTGCTTTGTTCAAAAGACACGTTACCCTTGGATGCGCATGGCAACCGTAAAAAAGACCTCAAGAACCTCAAAGCCCAAAACCCCCTGAGATCTTCGAAGCCTCGGGAGGCTGAGCGAAAGGTTGCCTCGATCATGGATGAGTACCGGGCCCTGGACGAGGTGGGAATGAATCGAATATACAGGCTTGAATACTACGCAGTAGTAGTAGTAGTAGTAGTAGTAGTAGTAGTAGTAGTAGTAGTAGTAGTAGTAGTAGTAGTAGTAGTAGTAGTAGTCGTAGTAGTCGTAGTAGTCGTAGTAGTCGTAGTAGTCGTAGTAGTAGTAGTAGTAGTAGTAGTAGTAGTAGTAGTCGTAGTAGTCGTAGTAGTAGTAGTAGTAGTAGTAGTAGTAGTAGTAGTAGTAGTAGTAGTAGTAGTAGTAGTAGTATCCATAGTATACCCTTGCAGTCCCGCTGTAGCTCTACATTAAGGAGGGGCTTTCCTGGCCTGGGGCTTCAAAGGGCCTCAACGCTTTAGCTGCACCGGCTCGCAATGCTGAGCCCCCAACCTCTTCAATTAGGGTTTAGGGTTTAGGGTTTGAGGGTTTTTGGGGTTTAGCCATCTTATCCTGGGCCTTAACAACTTAAGGCCCTCCCAGCACGCAGGTGCACATGAAGACGCTGACCGACTGGGTGGCCGAGTTCAACTCACTCGTGCAGGAGCTGCAGGGTTCGAGTTTGGATGCCATGGTTTGCACCGTTGTTTTGTTGTTACCTTTCTCGGTCTATCAACATCGTGTTTGCATCTAGTGCAGTTTTTTGCTTGCCTGATCTTGTTGCTGTCCTTATTTTGTAGGATAGTTCTTCGTCATTACAGGCCTCGAACCTCTCTAAGTGCTTCCCAACGTCACCTTCGCCCGAACTCCCAAGCCTTCACATGCTACAGCCAAAGTGTTGAGCTCTAGACTGGGATCTAGCTGTGGAGAAATTTGGGGCCGTAAGGTTCTATTCAAGCTTCCAACAATTACCGCTTGGATAAGGGTAGTTCTCTGAATCTTTGGGTACCCAAACTAGTACGGCACCCTTGTAAACAGGATCCTAACCGTTACCCTTGAGAGAACCACCCGTGAAGAAGTTCCAACTTCGAGAGTTGACGGTTGGCGACCAGGAGCCCACAAGCTTCAGGTTGACACTTGAGTTTCGGGCTAAGGGTTTAGAATATTTTAGAATGGGGTTTTTGGGTGTAGGGTTATCAGGTGGTTTAGTTATTTAGAAAAGGTTTTTTGGGTATATTGTGGTAAAGCTGTAGTTAAATCAAAGAACCCTGAGGAATATTGATGGCCTGTAGTGCCCCGGACACTCAAAAGAAGGGGGCTTATCCATAGGGTGTCTGCGCCTTGAGCCGAGTCTGTGTACTTCCGCGGCTCTGAACGTATCCGCTGAACGTATCCGCTCCCTCCTCCGACCTGATAGCGGCAGCAGAAAACATCCGGAGACAATTTGCCCTAGAGCCGTTGCGATGTTCCCAATAGAACCTTTATAAAACCCGATCAACCCCGTAGAACGTTTTAAGCCCTATTGCGACACTGTAGAAGCAACATGGAATGTTGAGCCCGAGCTTCCAGGAGATTGGACGGCCCGTCCTCGAAAGAGCACAGGGCTACTACGACAGCCGGGCCATCTGGCAACAAGCGATTCAGGACCGAACGTGAGACAAATCTAGGGTTTACAGTAGACCCTGGAGTCTTCTTCCAGCCCTAAATTCCGTAGCTTCTTTCAGGCTCCAAGATGGCGCGCTGCGTGTGGAGGTGTACTGTTCAAAAAAGCATACCCAAACCTTGCAAACCCCGACTGTCGAACAGGACTTCGCTGAGCAGCAGGGCGTTCTGGACCGGGTCAACGTGGAGCTGGAGGTGCGGTTCGGATGTAGAGGGCCCGGAGACGAGATGGGCGCGGCATGGGCGGGTTGACGTCATGTTGGTGCTGATGGCGGTGGTGATAATCTAGTTTTCTGTGCTACCGTTAATCGTGTGATTGTTCGCTGTAGTGCCGGCTCATTGCCGTATTCATTCATTTGAACTCGTGTTCTGCTCTTGTGCAGATGATATGTCCACTTCTCCCGTTCTTGTCTTCGTTGTCGTCGTATGTCGAGAGACCCAAAGCAGCCCAAACCTGGATATCTCTAGTTGTGGAGGTGGCGGTGAAGAATTTGGCCAAGGCAGAGGCCAACGTCTCAGCTGAATCAGTGCGTTTGAAGCTTTGGCTTCTAAGGTCTTCAGGCTACCTGGCTTAAGGCCTAGTTTCTGGTGGAGTTTAGCATTCTAGGAACTTAGAGTTGAGCCTGTTAAGTTTTCAGGTTTAGTCAGGGGTCTCAGGTTGAGGCTGTAATATAGGGGCTTTAATAACTACCTATGTTACTTTGGGGTTCCTTATTATGTTTACAGAGTAATGGGCCCCAAAACCGTATTCTAATTATTAAGGCCCCTATATTAGATTTCGAACAGGGCTGTGCTCAACCGAAGTTTTTTGTTAATGCATGGCTGTCGAAGTCTCCTTCGATAGCCAGTTCCGATTGTGCGTTTTGTGATTACATGGCCCGGAAGAAGCCCGAAGGTTTAGCGTTTGGTGGTTAGATGTGGTTAGGGATTGGGGACCCGAACCCTAAACCGAATCCGAGACGAAGGGAGCCTTGCACATCATCACCCCACAGCCCAAGCCCCCTACCGATTATGACGTCCCAAACTCCCAGCATTGGGCCCTAACCCCGAACATCCTTAATCCCTAAACCCCTTTTCTCGACCCATAAACGCCGACACCTTATTTCGGACCCGAGACCGCCTTCGAAGCCTTCCTCCGGGGCAGCGACGCTCTATCGGACCAGCAATGGGAGGAGCTCGCACCCGCCAAGGCCTGGCTTTCTTCTGCGATGCAGGGAGGTAGCTCTGTCTGCTTCTGTTGTTTGTTAGTGTCACGAATTTCACCAGTTTGATTTCATTTTCGCATGAGAGGGGAGAGGTTTATAAAGATGGCCGTTTGCCACTCTTCTTTGTTTTCTCTTCGTTTGAAACCGTTCGGCCTTGTTAATGCTGCTGCTGATGTGCTTATTGTTGCTCTCTGCGATTCCGTCGAAGCCATGCGGGTGATGGGAAGAGTGATGATAGTGATGCTCACGTGTGTGATGATCCCGAGGAGGATGATGGTCACGATGATCCTGGTTTCTACCTATCATCAGTGAGTTCCCCTCATCTTTATGCGAAGTCTTTTGCTAATTCGTCAGGTCGGTGACGAGAACGACGCGGAGCTGGATTCTGATCCCAAGCTGCTGCGCATGATTCGCGTGGGCGCCCTACAGTTTAAGGGGTGTGTAAAGCTGCCAATTTGAGACATGTGGGTCCGAGCGTGGCTTTAAGTTGTGGGCCGCCTGTAGTGTTCGATGTACCCTACGGAGGCTCGTACCTTGCGGTTCTGGACTTGGGGCTCAGGGTTTTAGGGTGATTGAATAAGGGTTATGTTTCCCCAGCCCGAAACATCGTGTCTCCTGAGCGTACTGTCCTGAGGTCTCTCGTCTTGGAGACACTGTTGCCAATCTGCAGCCACCGCCTCAGATGCTAAGCTTTTCGCGCGACGCTTTCCGGAATGATGAAGCCCGGCGATCTATCTCTGCGGTTTTCTTGATCTGTTCATATGTACGGATATATACATGTTTATATGGCATATACATCATATACATATTGTATACATAGATAAATAAATAAATAAATAAATAATATATATATATGTATATGTATATATATATATACATATGTCATACCCACACGTGCTCTGCTCCCTGCGTAAAAACTCTTCATGTATATACATGTGTACGCCTGCCTGAACACGCAGAGCTAGCAAGCCAAGGCCGCAAGCCTTAAACTTAGACCCGAAACCCTAAACCCTACTGCCCTTTGATCTCTACCCCCCAAAACAGCACAGCTCACTCAGGACCCGCCGTGACCGGGAGGTCGGGGAGCTGAGCCTCAAGCGCGATGAGCTCGATGAAGCTCGGAGGCCAAACCTTAAGGCTTACCTTAAGGGATCTTAAAGTATCCTTCAAAGGATCTTAAAGGATCCTGCAAGGGTTAATACAATTAAAATGTTTCAGCGTTTCCTTCAAAGAATCCTTGAAGAGTTCCTAGAAGCCTCCCTACAAGGGTTCTCTTTGGGGTCGGGCTCACCTGCGGGCCTTTGTGTTCGGGGGCGACAACTCTTCTTCTGCGAGTTTGGGGCGGGCTGCAGCGAATGGCGGGTTTAGGGTTTTGAAGGCTTTAGGGCTTGCCTCTTGGAACGCTTTACCCTAGCTGTTGTTGTTATTGCTCTGGAGTGCCCGATTTCTGAACAGATTCAAGGGTTGCCGGCTTTAACTTCAGGCTTGGAGGTAAAGGGCATCTCATGTCGTACAGTGTCGAAGAGGATTTTGAGAAGACCTGTTTTCAGCTAAAGGCCGCCTCTTGTGAAAGGTGTGACGGCACAGGTGCGAACACATCGTTCGACACTTCCCCTCATCGATAACTTTCATTGTTATGTTGGGGGTGAGTGTTCAGAGCAAAAGCCTGCGCTTTTGACCTCTGCAGGCGCTTTGAGAGCGAAGATCAGATGCACAGCGCCTGCTTGGCCCTCGTGCTCTGAGCTTTGGCGTTGAGGGTTTAGGGCTTTGCCTTTGCTCCACCTGCTTGTGAGCCCAAACCGGACGGTAAACGCGAGTTATGTTGAGACTACGGTTGAGTCGTTCACTGCCCAGGTCTCTCTGTCTTATTTCGAGTAAGTACACGAGACAGGGCCGATTCGAAGGTTTCGGGCACCTTCGTTTGGGGCCACAGTTCTAGGAGTTCGAACCCCGAAGCGCGAAATCCAAACCTGTGCACGTCGCCGTAGAAGAAAAGGACGAAGTAGTGGGCGAGGAAATAGTTTAGTTTTAGCAACAGTTGGAGGATGCGGAGGCGAATGGCGGAGGAACACAAATGACAATTATACGATGGAACCGTTCAGCCGCGGTCGCGGCCAGCTAATACATGCAAGAAAACAGACACCCAACAACCATAAAGACCCCGAGTCCACGAGTCGACATGATCCCTCCAACCCACAAAAACCGAGATGCTCATGCTTCGAACTTCAACAAACCTCAATCTCTTGAGTGCCAAACCGCAGGCACGTGGAACTGCTCCGTGAAACGGGCAGCGCCTTTCTACGAGAAACGGCGGCTGCATGAGCCTGCAGCTGAGAACGGAGTCGGGCTTGTGTGGGTGTGGAATTGCTGGATTCAAGTGGCTGCTTTTGCTGCTGCTACTGCTATTGACTGCTACTGCTGTTGCTACTAGTCCTCCTCTGCACTGCTCCTGATCTGCTCCTGCTACACCTACTGCTACTGCTGCTGCTGCTGCTACTGCTACTGCTACTGCTACTGCTACCGCTACTACTGCCACTATTACTCACTCCTACTCCTGCCAGCATTGTCGTCGTCATCTTCATCATCATGAACGTCGCCACCAGCACCATCAGCACCATCACCACACCATTACGATCATCACGATCATCACGACCCTCACCGTGACAATCTTGACAGGGCCCATCTTCATCGCCATCACACATCGACCTATCGGTGCTAACTGCCAAATCTGAAGTCCACGCACGCACAGGTTCAAGGTGGACCAGCAGCTGACACAGCTCCATGCTGCCGGGGCCTTTGAAGCCAGTCCGACAGTGTGCTACCCTTGGTGGTGCTCGGGCAGGCGACCCATTAATGGCACTTGATAATTTTCAGCGCTGTGGTGAAGAAGAAGAAGCTAATCTCCGTTCCAACTCCTGAACACCTACGCCCCGAAATTCCCTCAATCCTGACAGAAACCTCATTTCCGCGTCCTTTGCTGTTCGTGACGGGCCTGACATCCTGAATCCTGAGTTCAAGAGGACAGGGATTTGGGTTTGCAGGGTCTGGTAAACTAAGCCACGAAGCCCCCCAGCATAGACTCTCCGAAGGTTCCATCTCGGCAAGATAGCGGGCCTCCTGTTTTCCTGCACTTCGACGAACCCTAAACCCTAAACCGCAAAGCCTAACCCCTAAGCCGTACTGCAAACCCTAAACCCTGAACCCTTACAGCCACGAGCGGCTTGGCACAGGTGGAGCGCCGCCTGAGCGAAGCGAGGAAACACCTCGCTGAGGTGCCTGACTTTGGACCTTGCAATTCGGATGTCGGGCTTGGCTTGGGGCTTTAGGGCTTAGCACTTAGGGTTTAAGGCCTAGGGTTCTACGACCCATGACCGCGCCGAAGCGGAAGCGGATCCCAACCCCAGAGCATCCCAGGTGCAGGGGGCAGAGTCTCCGGCCTCGGTGAAGAGGAGGCCGCGAGTCCGGGAAGGGAGGGCAGCAACGGGGAGCATGATGCCGCGACAAGATGATAATGATGTTAGTGTTCCGGGAGCCCTCAACCCTGACCTTAGACTCAGACCCTATGCCCGAACCAATGAAACCCCAACTAGACCCTGCACCCCGAAAATTGTTTGACCAGGTCGCAGTCGCGTCAAATCGACGAGCTGAGCTTGCAGAGCTTCGAGATCGCGGGGGCGGAGCCTGCGCACGACGAATTCCTGTCGCGGCTTGGGCACAGATTGAGAGCTTTCAATATACGTTTGTATTCTGCATGCAGGCCGTTAAGCCCTGAACCCTGAACCCTAAACCCTGAACCCTAAACCCTAAACCCAAAGCCTTAAGCCTGCCCGACCAGAGCATGAGCCCATCTCCGGCTGAGGTGTGACGAAGCGTCCTCCGACGAGGGGTGAGAGGCCTTGGCTCTCAGCAACAGAGAGTTAGACTAGGGGCCTAGTAATTAGAACACGGTTCCCCTTCAGGGATCTATATGGGTAACTTTAAAGCTTTAATATACTATAGCAGAGATACAACAAGGAGAATAGTACGGCAATTGCTTGGGCCCTGCATTAGGGCTTCAAGCTGTGGGGCTTGCGGTTCAAGCTCTAGAAATTATAGATGAGTCGTCAAGTCACCGGGGTAGAAGCTTGGAATAGGGCAGGATGTAGTAGTGTGGTACGTAGGACGATGTGTATGCATGTATGCATGCATGTATGTATGTATGTATGTATGTATGTATGTATGTATGTACGCATGTATATATATATATATATGGATATACATACCTACATACATACGTACATACATATAAATATAAACATATATATATATATATATATGGCTTGCAGATCGCTCCTACTGGCGTCCCGGAGACGGTTTCTGGGGTAGGGGGGCTGCCTACAAGAGTGGGTGTAATTCGAAGTGGGGCTCATAGGGCTTACAGAATGGTCCGGATGTTGTCGTAGGATTCGGGGTTTGCATGTTGCTGAGAGCCAGATTGAGCAGAATGGATTGGTTGCTTAGCTCCGTTTTAAATTTCAAACGCTTTGACTCGTCGTTGCCACGCAGCTAAAAAGGCAGTTTTCGCAGGACTTTGAGAGTCGTAAGCACTGCCTCCCACAATCCGTGTGATCCCAGAGCAGTGCCTTGACAAAGGAGACGAAGCCCTCTTTCGGCTCATGCAATCGGTCATGTGGGAACCAGTCGAACAAGCCCTGGGGTCTGACCCAAACTGAACCTCGAGCGGAACTTATAAGCCACCAACGCATATCCCAAACTCCGACTGCAGCTAGTGAACTTAGCGAGTAGGCCAAGATCACCCTAGACCCTGGTAAACTAAAGCCATCTAAAGCCTGAAGCGCTTCCAACATGCGTTTGAAACCCGTAAGCGAGTCCCAGCGTTTCGGCTTCAGGGTGTGTTGTTTCGGGATTAAGAGTGTAAGGTATTGGGGTATAGAGTTTCGGTTTCCGAAGCAGCAACACAGCGGCTCGTTTCTAGTTGGAGCAAGGCCGTGCTGTGCAAAGACAATTAGGGTTTAGGGTTACGGTTTAGGGTTTAGATTTAGGTAGGCTCAAACTATGCCGTGGAGATGTTTGCCACGGGCAGCATTGTCATTGTGAGGCAAGCAAGCTGGGAGGTTTCTGTTTGGCAGCCACCTAAGCCCCCAGCCTACAGATCAGCCATGCTTCTCGATTGGTATGGTGTTAGCAGGAACAGCTGCATCAAAAGGAGTCATTCTGTGAAAAAACTCTTATTCGAAGATTGCCATGCTTGTCCAATTATCGGTATGTTCAGATTTTGATGCGTTCCTCCTTCGTTTGCCAACTCGCAGGTCAAATGCGCCGCGTCTCCGCTATTGAGCGTGAGGCCCGCAGGAAGAGGGTCGGAGTCCCATTTCTGGTTTTGACATCGCGAAAAGAGGCAAAGGACGGTCTCAAGCATATTGCAACCGCCGCGTTTCGGATATGCAGGGTTTAGGACCTGACGACACAATTTCGCGGTCTGAAACAGTCTGAAACAGGGGCCTTACTTACTATTGAGTACTAATCAGAACAGGGCTTGAGGGGATATCACAGCATGAGCGCTCAAAGACTGCACAGGGGATACTTTGCCCAATTCTAAATATTCAGACTTCTTTGTTACACGGTATATGATAAACCCTAAACCCTAAACCCTGAACCACTGAAGACCCAGAACAGGTGGCCAGATCTGCCAGGGCGCATGCGCCAGGCCCTCGGACGTCTGTATCATCATAGTACCCTTATAGTAACGCTTATAGGACCCTTTACGGAACCTTTTAAAGGAGCCCTTGTTGGCATTTTGGTTTGGGCTTTAGGGCGACGGGGATCTGAGAATCTGGGCATTTGGAGTTGTGAGTAGACGCTGCGCCCGAAACAGCCCTGGCGACTCTAGTCCCAGGCCCACAACTTCAGACAAACACTCAAACCAACGAACTCAAACCAACAGAACAACATTACCGAGAGTTCCCATTCATTAAGCCACTAAGCCCCTAAACCCCCTACACCCAACTAAAGAACCGTCATGCCTCGAAGCACCAGCCCAGGGACCGCAGCACGGCCAAAGTCGTGGACTTAGACCAGCGACCCTCTAAGGGCTGGGCTTTGCCGCCCAACTCGAGTTGAGCGTCCGGGGTTTCAGGGCTTCGGGCTTGGTTCGGATTCTGCATGCCAGTTGCACCACGTCGTAATGCAGTCAGCAGTCGATGCCGTTTCATATCGAGCGTCTGCGGCGCCTGCGTGGTGGTCTGCCATCCTTTGTAATGCTCTAAGCTCTGTCATATGATGTGACTTTTGTCTTCCGAGGGGATGATGTGACTTGGGGTTTAGGGTGCCTACTTACTTGCAGGGCGTTTTTGGGCAGCGAAACAACCTAGCAGGCCTAGAGCGCAATGCTGTCAAGATGCAAGTCCTAGCAAAGCCACTTAAATGCGAGAACTCTGCCGAAAAAGTCTTCGGCCGAAGATTGCGCTGGCAGTAAAAGCCCCAAGCCACCACAACCACAAGACCCACAAACCATGAAATCCCTAGAGGCCACACACCAGAAGGCCTACAAAGTAAACCCTTTGTTTTGGGTCTTAAGCCCAAGCCAAGGATGCCGTTGGTCCCGGTAGCCAGGTGCCGAGTCGGGTTCCAGCTTTGAGAGCTTGCGGAACGATTGTTTTAGGGTGCTTTTGTGCTGTTGGTTAGTGACGTTTCAACAGGTTTGGGGCGCAGTTTCGGATTTCTGTTGCAGTTTCAACAGTGGGTTTCTGAGGATTTGACGGCTCTGATGTCGAGGGCTTCACTGTCACTGTTAGGGGGCGAAACCGGGCGACTCAACTTCCAACATGAGGCATCGTTCCATAGTACTGAGTACTGGGAAGACAGGAGCTAACGAGAAGACGCAGGAACTTCCGGCTCCACGCAAAAAAGTATCCAGCTTCCAAAAGGTGCGAGCGGCGCAGCCGGCGAAGAGGGCCCAGATGAGCAAGCGTGCCGAGGAGACACCCGCTGCTGCCCAACAAAGGGCCTTGATCCCTAGATTGGATTCCTAAATTCAAACTTTGCGATTATTTTTGGGGGGCTGGAAGGAGTGACTAAAGGTTATAAAGCTCCTCCGTTTTGTTCAATCTATGACAGGGTGTCTTTTTTTGTTAAGGGTCCGACGATTCCTGCGTGGATGTGGGAGCATCACGATTTCGTGCCTGTTCCCTTCTGCAAACCTGCCTTGCAGGCATGCGAGACGCAGACAGGGGAATGTATTTTTAAGCCGCCTCAGCAACCGCACCAGCAGCAACAAGGGCAGCGGAAGAGCGCAGTGCTCTAAGCAACGGGAAGTCTTGTTCGTCTTCGTTGGTAGAAGCCGACGGAGCAGAAGTTGTTGTTAAGTCCTTCCTAGTGGGCGCCCGAGAGCAGAAGGAGTCCATGGCAACTTCTGCCTTCCTGCTCCCGCCAGTGCTGTCACAGCCATTCCTGCGTCTGCCACTACTGCGGGACAGCTTCGCCTTGGGCCGGGCTGGTTGTTGCATCGCCAGAACGAGCAAAAGCTCGGGAAGCCCGGCATGCTGCCCTCATTGATGCCGCTGCTGCCTCAGCTCCGTCGTCAGCGAGGGATTGAGTTTCGTGCGCCGTCTCTCTGTCCCTCCGTCTCTGTCACTCTCTCTCTCTCTCTGCCTCCCTCTCTCTCCCTATCGATTTATCTGTCTATCGATCTATCTATGTATCTAATGATTTATTTATGTATCAGACTTATGATATCCTTTGAGGCTCATGTGTCTCCGTGTCCCTCTTCAATTTAAGCAAAAGCGTGGCTCTGCTGGGATCGTCTTCCGAGCCGGACCTGAGACCACTTTTCCTCTGTCTTCACGAGTCCAGGTTCGTGGGGTCGTTGTATGGACTCTCTGCGCGGTGCTCCACCTTGGCTCGGTATGGATGGTGGCACATGTACTGGCCTCAGATTTCGAGCCCTTGTCGCTGGGCGTGTCTTTGGTTTAGCGATATCGGTGTGCGACCACGTGAGCAAAAATTGGCATTGCCAAAGCAAGGCTCTCTTGTGAATCGTCTGGCGGAGGCCCCCCTCGTGCCGAAAACCCTACCCTACGCCCCAGGATCGAGGGGGAAGTTGAGCGCTATAAGCCCTAAACCCGAAGAAGTGGCGCCTGCCCGCTGAGTTTACGGTGAGCTTGCACCTCACAGCGAATGCGTCGAGCCTTGTGGTGAGCTTAGCTACGGGAGCCATCATCTTGGAGGTTTTGTGAAAGCATGAAGACCTCTTCTGGGCGTTTCTTCAGCGGTTGCATTGCTAAGCTTCAGGACCAGCTAGGTTCTGTCTCTCAGAATTTGTCGATAGGGACGAGAGGTCGTTCTCATGGTAGCACTGATGACAATGAGGGCAGATAGCACGACCATTGCATGCACTACCTAAGGAGAGCATTCCGCTGTTCTTGAGCTGTAGAGTCCTGTAGAGAGAGGCATTTCACCTGCAAAGCCCTGAGCACCCGCACCCGCATTCAGACGACAGTTCGGAGGACAGCAGAGGTAGCTTCACATCCATCTCAAATAACTAGCTGCCAGATACAGCTGCAACGGCTTCCTGTCTTTTGTCGAACTGCGGCTCTGCATGTGGGTTGTAACACTGATGCGACATCCGCTTAGTTGCGAAGCCTCGAGCATGTCACACTCAAAGCATCGGTGCCCCAAGTGCAGGCTTGGATGTTGCTTGGTTCCTTACCCGCTGGCTGCTCAGCTGTTTCCCGTTTTGCTGTTCGACGCCCGTCCACTTCCTTGAGGATTTTGGATCCCAAAAGGGTCTAACCCCCACCCCTAAAGCTCTAAAGATCCCCATACTCCCAAGCATCTGTAAACTCATCCGTACAGCCCCAGGTCTTTACAGCCGAGCGGTTCTTGCAGCGCACCGCTGCGGGAATCAACCTCCGAGGGATCTCCGGGGTGCGCGGCCCTCAACCCCTAAGGTTCCGCATCATAATCATAGTATAATGGGCCCCAAAACCCCATTCCAATTATTAAGGCCCCCATATGACAGGGTTGTTTTGGGAGTTTATGCTTTAAGGCTTTCTGGGTTTATGACGCTGTGTTTAGGGTTTGCGGTTTTCGGGTTTGGGTTGTTTCTCCCTAGTGCCAACATGCCAGGATGGCCCATTGCAATGTCGGGGAGTGCCCTTGCCATCCCTCGTGCCGCTGCCACTCTTGCCAGGACTGCCCGGTGCTGCCAATAGGGGAATGGAGTTTACTCAAATTGCAAGTTGCGATGTGTATCCTGTCATATTACAACTCCCTTCCTCCGTGAGATGTTGCTGGACAAGCAGGGTTACAGGTATGTTCACCTGGCTGGCGGCCTGATTGGCTAGAACGCAAGCCTGAAGTCCATGCTTATGGCTTGGAGTCCAGAAACCGACCGCGAGTCTAACTTGTTGCCTGGATGCCAGAGCCTAGCAACCCTTGGAAGGCCGGAATGGCAAAAGCTTTGGGTTAAAGTGGGGTATTTCAAGAGGTTTTTGGCTCGACATTGTAGAGGCTAGTGTCCCAATCTTGCACAAGCTGCTTGCGGCTTGCATACTCTTGCGTAGAACAGGTGTATAAAGCGGACGGGTGCCGCCAAAACCCGAAGTTCCCAGTCTACACCCGCCCTAGGCCTACAATCTCTGGTTGGTAAACAAGCCTATTCTCTTACCGAGGAGCCCCTTGGTTCGGGTCGCGGATCGCCTGGAGCCGAGAGTGTGGGCAGCCACTTTGATAGCGATCATGGCGACCATGATGAGGAGGACGAGCATAATGCTTCTTCTTGTGATTGTTGCTGCTGCTGCCGCTGCTGCTGTTTCTACCCACTTCCGCCGCGCCCCCTCCTCTGAGGGTGATCGTGATGATGGTTGTGTTGCTGGTGGTCATGATGACGGCAAAGATGAGGATGTCATTGGGGCTGATCAGCTCCTCCTCCTCCTCCTCCTCCTCCTCCTCCTCCTCCTCCTCCTCCTCCTCCTCCCCCTCCGCATCATCCGAAAGATCGCAGTGATTAGCAGCTGTGATGTTTGTTCCTGCGCTTACGGCAGCAGCAACACGACCACTTCAATCGCCACATTGACGTGAGGTTCGTCTGGCGGCAGGATCAACTGCAGGCCTTTCCTTGGCAGCGCTGGCAAGGCCTTGATTTTGTGGTGATAGGGATGTGTATTGGATTTTGCTTCGGAGGCTAAGGCTTCAGGACTCAGAAGCATTGCTTCTCTGGCTCACGCGGTCCACGTAAGTAGGCCTGGAGCCCTCGACCTCAACCGCAACAGTCCGAAACCTAAACTTAGGCCCAACACTTCTGCCCTATTGGCAGCTCGATCTTCGTGCAGGCTCTCCTCTCCCTTTGCTGCTGCTCTGGGCGGGTGCCCCGCGCTTTACATCGATATGGTTTAGGGCCTTGGGTTGAACCTAGTCGATCAGTTCATTCATCAGGGTTTAGGGCTACAAAAAAGGGTTAAACCAGGTTGACGCAACGGAAACTGGTTTAGGGACACAGGCTTCAGCCTTCAGGGGTTGGGTTTAGGTGGTTGAAGTTTATTGCCTTGCAAGCTGGGAGTGCGTTCGCTTCTTCACGTTGAGGCTTTCCGCCTCAAGTCGGCCTAAAGTACTAAAGCCTAAACCCTAAAGCCTGAACTCTGGCACCACCTACCCCCCCCCCCCCTCCGCCTTCCGGCCCGAGAATCCTGAGACTCTGAGGTCCCACCTGGGGGTTGCAAGAACTTCGGGGTCCACAGAGGGCTTCGAGTTCCTTGTTTTCAGGATCCTTCCACTGTTTCGTGAAGCCCTCACATGGCTTCCGGACCCTGTTGAAGATGAGAGGTGCGCGGAGACCGTTCTGCTGCTCGTCAGAGTCGAGCCCTCAGCGGGTTGACGGTTAAAGGGGTTCAGGGCTTGATTTTAGGTTTTCAGGCTTCAGGGTGCGAGGCTTTCATTTGACATAGACTGGGATCCTCTTTCTCCTTTCGCGGTGTCTTTGCTGGAGCAGAAGGCCGGGGCTCCCAGGTTTGCATCGAAGAATAGGGCACCATATCCAAACTAAACGGAATAACGATGAGCCTCAAAAAATCCCCAGCGCACTACAACGAACTCTCACCCGACTCGAGCATCGAGTCTGCCCCCTTTCAACCGTTCATTTGAGGGCTCCTACCTTCGAACCAAGGCGGCGTACGCCTGCATCTGGATCTGCGACTGGCGCCTGCAGCAGATGTGGCGCAAGAGGAAGTAGCCAGGAAAACAACCGAAATTTCAGGGTTCAGGGCTCAGGGTTGTGATGAGAAGTAAGACTTGCTGCTGCCGACAGTACTCAGTACTCATTGCACGTGCAACGGTGGTGATGAGTCGTGCAGCCTTGTTTCGACTGTTTTGGAAGACTTGCTTCTGTCGAGGAATTTGCAGCTGATTGAGACCATGGTTGCATTGAGCTCCAGGGCTGGGCTGCGATCCTGCTTTCAAGTCTGGGAGACCACAGTTGAGCTGAGTGTCAGAAGACTGTGCTCGTGCAGGTATTTCATGAAGTTTCACGACCAGACAGGGTGTATGTAGCTCAGCATTGAGATTCCATTGCTGTGCCCTCCCAAAGCCACAGGGACGGCTGCTGAATTCCACGAAAGCACTCCGCACGCATGTGTCGCACAAGATTGAGAGCAGAAGCCGACTTCATAGCATCACGCACACTGCACTTTTTTAGACATCTGTTTCGGCCAGCCCTGCAGCTGGCAGTTTTCGATCGGAGCTTCAGCGCGATGTCGTCCGGACAGCCAGTGCTGCCTGTGCCACAGCAAGCCCTGCATGGATATGATGAAGTTCCAGCAACTGTCCTGTCCTCGGTCGTCTGCCAGTTCGATGTGGCTACCAAAGCCACTAAACTCACAGAATCTTAAGCTCTGAAGCAGTAACTAGGTCAACTCGCTGTTAGACCACCAGACCTTCATGCCGGGCATGACGAAGATGCGAGTGAACTTAAGAGAGTCAGTACCGTGATCAGGATCCGGTAGGTAAGCAAGCAAGCAAGCAAGCAAGCAAGCAAGCACCTGTATGTACGCATGTACGTTTGTACGTACGTATGTGTGTATGTGTGTATGTGTGTATGTATGTATGTATGTATGTATGTATGTATGTATGTATGTATGTATGTATGTACGCATGTACGTCTGTACGTACGCATGTGTGTATGTGTGTATTTATGTATGTATGTGTATGTATGTAGGCAGGTAGGTAGGTAGGTAGGTAGGTAGGTATGTATGCGTGCACGACTTGGATTTAACGCAGCCTCTGCATTGCGATGCCCCAGAGCCTAATCTGAAGGCAACACGTCCTAGTTCGCCTTCCCTGGAAAATCCCGGCGTATGCGATGATTCTTGTTGTTCCGCAGCACATGCCTGCATGTCCGGTTCTCACAAAGCCCGAAAAACATACAGCGCAAGCAGGCGAATTCGTTTCAGTGACAGACCTGTGACCTCCGAAGAATGGTCTTGTGAACCAAGTTCTGTAACGTGAATGGGCAGGATGCAGAGACGGCCCTCGATTGATGGTAATCTCTTTGCTTGAATGAATCGAAAAGTTTCGTTTGCCTAAGACTGTTCTCTTGAAGGCTCAGGTTCTCGTCTTTGGAAACCCGAAGTGCTGAAGTGGAATCTCAAGGCACCGCCCCCGTCGACATCGTTCCACGGGAATGCGGCAGCGCTCAGCCCTTGGCCTCTTCAGCCGTGTGAGCTAAAACTTCAAGCACCTACCCTTCAACAGAGACCTTATGGACCTTGTTCGGAAGCCGTCCAGAATTGTAATCCAAAACACTACCCTTCACAAGACCGAGAGACGGCAAACGGCAGGCTTGGGCCAGCAGCATGGCTTAGAGAGAGATTCGAGTTTAGGGTTGAGGGTTTACGGAGTCACGAAGACAAGACAAAGAAAGCTCTCCATTGCAGAGTTCGCGCGCTTTGGGGTTCGAGGCTGGCGAGATCCTGCGAGTGAAGCCCACTAAAGCCACGAAGAATCCTGTAATCTCGATTCCCCGAAGACAAAATCCGGAGGGGGCGGAAGGCAGGAAAAGGCGAGCTTGCAGCCTGGATTTGGGGATCGTTTCGAGCTTTGTTAAGGATGATGGCTGTACCTCAAGTCGTCTTGCTCCTCCCAAAGGCTGACAGCTTTACGGCTTCTGGGCGTGGTGATGTCGAGCCCAATTTCGGGCACGAGGGTTTTCGGTTTAGGGTTCTGGGTGTTGAGCATTCTGGTATGCATGGGATTTTCAAATCTTCGCCGTGACGAGGCATTCGGCACTTGCTGTTCCGCTGGCTGGGCGGCAAGCTCAAGCAGAGGCTCATGAACCAGCCGAGCAAAGCAGTAGGTTTCTTTGCCCAGAAAAGTTTTAGTCGCGGGTTGTTTCTGTGAATGCTGTGATGGTTTTGTTTCATTGATTCATTGATGGACGGCATTCAGTCAAATTCTCCGGATTGAGGAGTTTCACTGTAAGTCCCAACCCAAAAGGCCCTAAAGCCTGAACGAAGGCTGAAAGACACGAGAGTTCAACAACAAAGAAACCCTAAACAATACCAATCGAGGCCTCCGGCACTTTGTGCCGCATCCGGCCCCCAGCTCCCTAAACCCTAAAGTCCACAAGAGCTATCACTGACATCCCAGCGCCGCCCCAAGTCCAAAGCCCCGATGGGTTTCAGGGCACTTGGGGTCTAGGGTCTTAGGGATTTCTGGGAGGAGCCTGCAGACCAAGACAAGAAGCCTTTAGCCTGAACCCTCCAGGCCTTGAGCCCATGCTAAACCAAGATGATTTTATTCAATTTATTCAAGATGGACCCAAAACCCTGGCAAATCGGCTGCAGAACCGGGCCCAGCTACGCTGCGTGGCGGCCAAGCATGCCCTGGGTTGACCCTGGCTTGAGGAGTTTGTTTTTGTAGGGCTTGCGGTGCGAGTGATTCTGATGCTTTGGCAATCACACCTCCCACTGAATCCTCAATTGCGAAAGCCCTAACGAGCTTGCATCTCCCTCCGCAGTCTGCGAGGCCTTCCTAGCTTCTTTTGCTTTCTTTAGAAATCGGGCACGAGGGGCGCGACCATGTCTTCACAAATTGGCCCGGTGGCACACCTTCGAGCCATAGACCATGTAATATGTAACCCTCAAGGCCTGAGGTGCAGTTGTGATATTCCGGAGCCTTGAACCCAAGAAAACCTATTGAGTCTTAGGTGTTGCCACAGGGCTTTGCCTCCACATCCTGGTGGTGGCACTGGTCAACGCGTTTGAGCCCCAGCGTGCAGTCCGAGGCTTTGCAGGAGTGGGCTCTTGTAAAGTGCCTTCCTGCAACCCTGAAGACCCTGAAGGCTGAGTCCTGAAACTTAGCTCCCCTTCTCCCCAGAAAAGCATTACCAATACCATTTTGGGGGTTCCTTATTTAGTCTAATTAGAGTATAAGTTTAATGGTCCCCCAAAAAGAGCATCCACAACAAAAAGAATGGACGGCTGTGAAGCTGAGAGCGGCTGTGTTGGTGCCAGGGCCCGATGAGTCGGATGTTGTGGTCTCACAGGGCCAGAAGCCATGAACTACATTTAAGCACGAGACTGCAGCCGCGTAACCCTTAAAGCCCCAACAGCCAGTGGCAAACTGCGACGCCGTTCAAGTTCGCACAAGCCTAGCTGGGACAAGGCTTGTTTGGGCGCTGTATCTCATCCTGATGAATGACTCCTACCCCTGGCCTATGTGGGCTGCGGCCTTAGCTGAGAGAGAGTTCCACCCTTCAGCCAAAGGCTTTCTGAAGTGGGTGGCCGGGCTGCTTTGCAACGTCTGTGTCTGCACAAATAGTGCGAGAGACGAATGGTGGACTCTGTCCGAACCTGCTCGACTCATGTCGCTGTACTCGATGACAACCATGGCTTTATGCGCCCATCGAACTTGACGCTGATCTTTTTTCCGTGCGCCCCGAAACATGAAAGTCAGGGATGTACGTACCTTCACAACCGAAAGCCGGATGCGTGGCAGCCATTTGACGACTCCACGTAGGTTCTTGTATTCCTCCCTTCCATCCGACACTCCCTCTCTTGGAGCTTGCCGGGTCTAGCTTCCCCGCAATGTGCGGTGATGTACATGTCCCCAGTACCTCATACTACTCGGATGACCGGCAACAAGATATGTGAAATCCGAAAGCAAACTGTCCCCTTCCGGGCCTGCTAGGTCAGCTTTGGCACATCGCTCTCGATCTTCGCACACATCGTGAATGCCACCCGGCTCCTGATACCCCTATAGCCCCTTCAATCCTACATAGCTCCGATTGTTACGTTGCCTCTTAGCCTCCAGTGATTATAGTGCTTGAGCTTTACGACAAAGGTATTTATGAGTTGGGGGGTTTCAGGGTCTAGGGTCCAGGATGTGTAGTGCCTTAACCTACAAGCTGCTCCGGGTGCCACGTTGATCCCACAAGCTTCACTTCGTTTAGGGTTTGGGGTTTGGGGCAGCTTGGGGTTTTGGAATTAAGAACCAAGGCTTTGGGAGACTTGTACTTGTCAGTCCTGACTTTCCTCGTCTCTATCTTCAGCCCCGAACGCCCGAAAACCTTGCAGTCTGTTTGAGCCCGACCATAGACTGGAGCCCCCAACTGTAACTGGAAACTCTAAATCCATCGTCACCCTTGTCGGGGGGTCGTCCTTGCCACAATCAAGGGGTCTTCTGCAAGACATGATAGGATGGGTTCCTGGCGGCCGCTTGAGGCTTGAGGCGTGGGGGATCTTCTCGAAGCCCAGGTGCTGCCATGGACGCTGCCCAGTGCGGAGCTCACCTGGGAGTTTCCGAAAATAGGGGACCCAAATGATACTCTAAATAGTAGGATCCTCATGATAAGGACACCAGAATATGGTACCCCCAATTTCCGCAAACACGCACCTGAGGGTTGCGATCGCTGTTTCCCTTTTTCCTGCTGTCGTTGTGGTGCTGTTAAAGTGGCAGAAGTCGCTTTCTTGCTGTGTAGTAGCCATGCTTGAATAGTAATCGCGAGCTGCTCAGCAGCCAAGGTCGACAAGGAGGATGTCCTAGGCCTCCTGCCTGGTAGCGTTTGCTCTACTATTTGACCTTTGGGCTTGGGTTCGTGAAGTCGTGCCGTGCCTTACTCTGTAAAGTTTGTGTTCGCTGTTGGTGTTCGAGGAGTTTGTGATGATGGACGCGGATGTTGCTACAAGTTTTGCCATGTTAGTCAGGCAGTTGGAGGTTCAATGTCGGAGCCAGTTG